CTACAGTGCCTGCCTGGCACATGGAAGGTTGTGAGTTCGATCCCTGGTACCCCCTATAAACTAACTATTTTTGTTTTGAGACAGGGTCTTACTCAGTCACCCAGGGTGGCCTTGAATTTGTAGTCCTTCTGCCTCAGCCTCCTTGATAGGTGGGATTAAGGGTGGTCAGAAACATTTTTATATTCCAATATATCATCCATATGGACTGCAAATTATCCTTTGTTCTTGCTGCTGATTAAATAAACGTTTACAGGAGAGGGCTCCGTATTTTCTTGGTTCCCAGAGTCCCAAGGTCAAAAGAAGTATTTAAGTTTTATTAGTCAGGTCCAAACAACTTCATAAATACGTACTTCCTCCAATTTAGTAGTCATTTGAATAAACAAGATTTTAATTCTTCAGTAAACACAATGGCTCATTTACAGGACGTGCACGCAATGTTAGTATCTTTCTAACTTTTGACTGAGATTGTACATTGCCACCATCGTTCCAGGCTGATTTTCACATCGTATCTGCGTTCAGCAGCTACAGAAACTCCAACTTTACAAAGGCACGATGTCAAAGAAAGGATGCAGTGAGACCTGACACTACAGCTGGAGCCTGGGGTGAGGCGGAGCTGTGCGGGGGGAGCACCTGCTTAGGCTTTTGATGCCGGCACCAGACAAGACAATGAGGTAGAGCAGGGCGCTGACTGCGCTGAAAGGGTAGTTTGTGTGTTGTCCAACGCGTGCCACACTCAGCCACTTTACTCAGAGATGGACACCCACCGAGGGCACCTGGGTGACTCCACGGTGCCCGGGACAGCTGGGCCCAAGGTGTGGGAAGCAGAGATTTCAGGATTATCAATATTACCTTATAATGAAGGAGGCGTGAGAAAGTCATGTTGCTTTCAGCTCTGTTGTCAACTTCATATATTGTATCATTTATTTTCAGATATTCTTTTAATTCAACCTGAATTAAGAGGAAATTTGCAATCAGTATCATATATGAATTCTTCTTTTCGGTTTTAAATTTTGTGAAATATGAGGTAAAAAAGGATAGCTATACAAAGACTTCAGTTTTTCTGAGATACCAAAATCTTTATCTCTTTTTTTAACCTGTTGCCCCTTTTTCCTATACCCTCTTTTTTTTACCTGTTCCCTTTTTTTTTTTACCCGTTCTCCTTTTTTATTCTGTTCCCTTTAAGTAAAAACAGGGATTAATATCCCTGAAAAAGTATTTTTGAGTTAAGCAGTCACATATCCAAGAGGAAACCAGGCACTTTTGTATTTGTTACAAGAAGTGCAAATGATTTACAGTGTTTACATTCTTTGCTAAGGAGTTATTTCTCAAGATCTGAAATGTTCTGTTGTAATTCTATCAATTATCAGTTGTAACTCTACATACCACATTAGTTTCAATTTAAGTATCTGTAAAACAATTTTTTATAAATCCAGCTCATTATACTTTTGAATGGGTAGCATCTAATGTGATGTATAAGGTCAGAAAGTAGTCTTTAAAATTTTGCATATTGGTGTGAATGTAAACATGTCAAATTTCAAATTAAAATTTGGTGATTCTCCAAAGTTATGTGTTCTTGAAGATACCAACAGGTAAAATAACAACCACTGATAATGTCCTACCACTTTGTTTGTAATTCGGTAAATCCCCCTATTACTATGTTATCCTTCTTTTACTCTTTTAAATAAAAAGTTATTTGTGAAAACCTATTCAGCACAGAACATTCAAACTAGTACTGCAGACAGTGTACAGCCATTATAAGCTACTTTCAAGTAATTATGAATTATATTTGTTTACTTTCTTCAAGCATTTTGAAATGTTGTTACCGAGGAGCCTAAATTTAAATCTAAGTTAAGTCTTAATCTATTAAAAAGGTATTACAATTACTAAAGCACAGATACTTGAAAATATTTTCAGATAAAGGTTTTTTTTGTTTTTTTTTTTTTCTGGTACCGGGAACCGAACTCACGACCTTGCGCTTGCCAGGAAGGCGCTGTGCCGCTGAGCTAAATCCCCAGCCCCAGATAAAGTTTTTAAGGTGTCAGTAATGCCAAATATGTCTCACTAAATTTTGGCCAAATGAAAAATTTACTTTAGAGAATAAGGAATGAAAAAATGAAATAGATCTGAAAATACTCATTCTAGGGCCAGGGATACAGCTCAGTGGCACAAACGCCTGCCTGGCAAGTGCAAGGTCCTGAGTTCAATTCCTGGTACCAAAAAAAAAAAAAAAAGGGAAAAAGCCTGCCTGAAAACATTCATTCTTAAACGTCCCCTGAGGGCTCAGAAGCCAGGCATTGTTCTAGATGCCACAGACACAAGAGTGACCCCAGCCAAGAGCCCTAACCCGCAGAGCTTACATCCGCTGGGCACAGACCTGAGCAGAGTCATGGTGACTGGAATGAACGCCCTACTACTCCACAGAAATGCTCAGTTACCACGCTCACGCCGTTTACTTCTAAGCGAATACACAAGTCTGTACAGTGTAAACCTTGGGTACATACTGGTCTAAACTGGCTGCTGTAGTACTCTGCTTGAAGGAACTCCTGCAGGTCCTTGACATTGTTTAACGTTGCGCTCATACCAATAATTTGAGTTGCTTCTGAAAAAGAAACGAAAAAAACCTCAAAGTATTAAAATGTGGTATTGGCCAAGGATGTACAGCTCAGCAGCATGGCGCCTGAGTTCAATGGCCAGTACCAAAAAAATAAAAAATAAATAAAAAGTAAAATAAAATGTGTTGTTATATCATAAAATAATTTTAGCAACATTTTAATACTCTAAATTCTTCCTAAGCCATCTAGGACAGAGAGAGGGTAAGAAAATGCAAATATATGTTGAGTATCCTTTATCTGAAATGAGGGTGGGGGCCGGGGATATAGCTCAGTGGCATAAGCACCTGCCTGGTAAGCTTGAGGTCATGAGTTCGATTCCTGGTACCCAAGAAAAGCAACATTAAAAAAAAAAAAACAACCTACTGAAATGTGTGGGGCTCAAACTGGTTCAGATTTCAGCCTTTTTGGCTTTCGGGAATAGTATCCTGGGGAGGTGACCCAAGACACAACACAAAATCCACTTATGTTTCATATACACCTCCTACGCACAGTCTGAGGGGATTGGACAGTTTGTAGGGTACCTGTGTTTTGAGTGCGAGCCAACACATGCACTGAAGTTTTCCACTTATGTTGGCTTTCAGATTTTGAATCACTTTGTCCCACACTCACTTCTGTCTTGAGCCCCATCTTGGGAGCAAGTGTATCGAGACCCCTCGTGGGGATGATCCCGATAGACGGCCCTACACAGAGTTATACTCAGATTTTTGAGTACAAATTAAGGACATCTGTTTGTTATCAGATTAAGGATAAACTGTACACCACCAGATTATTAATCTGGCACTCAAAGGATGACATCTTTCAGGCACCCCTAAAGGTACTACTTAGAATTTCACAAAAATTTCAAACTTGGAAAGAAGTAGGACACCTAGTAAGAGGTCTACGCAAAAATCTGAGTGTAAATCTGCGTGTGGTGGTCTGGGTTTCAAGGCACTCGCTCCTGAGACGGGGCTGGAGACAGAGGTGAGTGCAGGACACAGAGCTAGATGGGCTGCGACCTCTTGCCAAGTGAAAAGTCCTTCACGAGATCTTGTTTTCAGGTTGTCAACTTTTTTTTGATTGTTTTGGTTGAGACAGGGTCTTGCTATGTAATGCAAACTGGCCTGACCTTGAGGTGATCCTCCTGCCTCAGCCTCCCAAGTGCGGAGATTACAGGTGTGTATCACCATGCCTGGGTCTGTCAACTTTTTAAAAAATTTTTTAAAATGAAAGAAAAAATGAAAAATTAACAGCAACAACAAAAACCCTAAAATAAATAAATAAAAATAGTCTAAAGCTCATGGAGCTGTATGACTGCGTGGGCAGTATAAAAATCGCTACTTTCCAGACTTAGCTATTGCATTAAAAACCAAAACAGGGGGCTGGGGATTTAGCTCAGTGGCACAACACCTGCCTGGCAAGTGCGAGCTCATGAGTTCAATTCCTGGTACTGGAAAAACAACAACAAAAAACAACAACAAAAAAAAACCAAAACAGCCAGTTCTTAGCAAAAGTTTCTTCACTGCTGCTGTATCACACCTTGAAATGCACATTCGGGCTGTTATCTGAAAGAGGAGTAAGTGCCGTCCCTTCACACGTGAATGAGGCCATGGGATTTACGCAGACAACACAGTGAAGCACTACAGGATGATAAATAGTACAATGGACTAACGAGGTCTGCGTCCACGAAAGATTGCTGTACCTGTAACAGACAAGTCAGGCTTGTGGGCAGAGGGGAGTGATCAAGACTAAAGGCACAGTGCCTGCCTGGCAGGCGCAAGGTACCAAAACCAACACCAACACCAACACCAACACCAAAAAGGCAGAGGAAGAGTTTGCTTTTGCGGCCACCTAGGTAAGACAGAATGGGGGAGGAGTTAGCAGTCAGAGAGGCATGAAGGAGAGAATGTTAAATATATTTATGAGG